GCTCCGCCAGGCGGTAGCTGATGGGCGCTGCCGGTGGCAGCGAAACGGCGTGCGCAGAGTTGGGCGACGTGATCTCGAAGGTCGGCACCTGCGTGGCCAGCGAATAGTGGAAGTCCACGGGCGAGAGACGCGCTGGCGTGGTCAGGGCCGACACGTACCTGCGGTAGGGGCAGAGACGTGGGCCGGGGTCGCGGGTGGGAGGGGCAGCGCCAACCCGACCCGAAGTAACTTTTTTGCTACGGAGCCTGTGGGTAATTCTCGGTGGCTTCATCCCCCTCCTGTCCCTTACTGTTTACCCGATAACCATCGTTGTGTTGGGTGATCTAAAAATGTATTGGAATTGGCTCAGCTCATAGTAAGTCTTGGTGAGCAGTCATTTGCTGTGGCGATGCCCCCAGTCATGGGTTCAGACTGGGGCATTTTGTGTGTGTTCTCATCTAATACAGTAATTTTGTGACTCTTAAGGGCCCACTATACACATGAAACCGAGACACAGTACATTTAAGTGTCATACTCAAGATTCACATAGCTAGTAAGTGAAGAGCTAGCATTTGAACTGAGGCCTGGTAGGAACCAGGACGCATAATGTCCAATTCCAGAATTCACTAGTCCTCATTCAGATACCTTTGTATCTGAACTCACTGTGCTCCAGACCTTGGCCTCATGGCTTCAGTGAGAGGACCCCCCCTCCAGTGAGGTATGAACTCAGGAGCTCCAGCCCCCTTTCTTTGGAGACAGGGTCTTGCTATGTAGGCAGGGCCTGGCCTTGAACTCACTGCGATCCTCTTGCTTCATTCTCCCACATGCTGGGATTACAGGCGTGTGCCACCATGCCTCTGCCAGACCTTTTAAAAATATCTTGAGATAGGCTTAGTTGCTCAGGCCAGCCTTGCACTTGGTATTTCCTGTCTCAGCCTCTTAAATCGCTGGGATTACAGGTGTGTGTTGCACTAGGTGTGTTCCTATATTAAAGCCAAAAACTGTCCCAGGGAAGTGACCACATCCCAGGCAGGGTCCTCAACCTCACTGAGATGTCTGTGCTTGAACCAGTGATCTCTGGTTTCTTCAAAAGCTTGCCCTTGCCAGTATCTCCAAGTCTGGGTCCTGGGTACATGTCCCTTTGTCATCCCCCTGTGAACCCATCAACCTCTCACTCCACCACTGTCTACCTTAGGATATGGACCACCCTTCCACGCTCCTCTCTCCGACAGCACATTCAGGCACCTGACTGACCTCTGGCACAAGCCCGGGGTCTCTGTTACATTCTTTCTGACCCTCCCTGTGCTACAGATCTGATTAGCTTCCAAGTCCTGCCAGTCCCCATCTCCTGGAGCCTACCCACCACCCCATCCTGTACCATTGGGCACCTTCTCACTTCAGGGTCTCACCTTCACTCTATGCAGTTCCCAGAACTATTCTTTTAAAACTCCCAGCTCTGCTGAGGCTTTTCTCTTGAATGCACCCAGGCTCCCTGTTCAGAACCAGCTCCACTGCTCCCCACAGCCCTGCCCCAGGCAGGCACCTTGCTCACCAGTCGTGTTCTTCAGTATCTCTGCTGGAACAGCTCTAGAGTCTGTGTCTGCAAGGCTTTCCTTCCCCATCTCTCTACTTCTCATCATCCCACCAGTCCTTAAGGAGCCCTAGTTCTGTGGCTACTATTGATGAGAGTAGCAATAGATATGAAGCAAAGAGCTCTATGCATATTATCTTGGGACCATGGGTACGAGGTACTGTGCTCCCTCATCTACAACAGAGGGAAAAGGTAGAGAGGTGGAGAGCCCGCTCGAAATCTTGCAGGAGGCGGGGCTGGGGATTTAGCTCAGTGGTTCTGCCGCATGCTTTGCAAACACAAGGACCTGAGTTCATCCCCAGTACCAAACAAAAAAACAAACAACAAAAAAAGAATACTATCATTTTAAGTCAGGCGTGGTGGTGCACGCCTGTAATCCCAGCACTCGGGAGGCTGAGGCAGGAGGATCGCTGTGAGTTTGAGACCAGCCTGGGCTACAAAGTGAGTTCCAGGTCAGTCTCATAGGGAGACCCGGTCTAAAAAAAAAAAAAAAAAAAAATTCTTGCAGGAGGTAAAGCCAGGCCAGGCTGGAAAGGTTGGTCTTGAAAGTCCTGGCTGTTTCCTAGGGTTTCTGTCTTGTTGTGGAGCTTAGTACTTTCCTTAGGCTGCTGTGAGCATCAGTGGTTTGTGCCTGAATGAGAGCTCAGGAGCAGGACCAGGTGGGCCATCTCTGGATTCCCCACCATGCCTGACACAGAGTGGAGAGTAGGAGGCGATCTGCTCCTTTACTGCCTCCCAGCCTGGAGCTCTTTACTCCACAGACCTGACTTGAAGAGGACCACCGGGGGCTGAGCAGAGTAGGGGCTGGGCTCCATTACTCCTGGAGTCAAGGAAGAAGGGCGCTTTCTTGATTCATCCTGCACCCTCTGCTCAGGAACCCAACAATGCCTGGAACACTGGGGCTTTGTTGCTGATGCTGCCAGGGCCAGTGATCATTCTTAGCTTATGCCTGTCCTGTGCTGGTCAGTGTCTTCAAAGGCAACCTCCCTCCCACCCTCCAGTCTACTCAGCTTTCACGTCTTTCCGTGTCTGCGGGGACATGGGCATGGGACTTTCAGGTGATCTGGGACAGGCAGCTGTAGGTGCCAGTTGTCTGGAACAGCCTGTTTGCTCCTGATAGGTGTCAATATCCCCTTCCTCTCTGACAGTTGTCTTAGCAGGACAGTTAAACTAGGTGGTCACTCCACACCAGGGTCCTCTGGCTCAACTTGTGCTCAGTTCATCACTAACGCGCCCAATGCCCCCCCAAAGACCATTTAACCTTTCTGAGACCTTGTTTACCCACCTGAACAGTGGAGACAAGGCTCTCTCAGTGACTCTTAAGGTCCCCTGAGGGCCAGTCCTTTGGCCAAGGTGGGGCCAGGCCTGGGGGGTTTGGGACTGACCTCTCACTGTGCGGGGAGTCACGTAGGGAGTCCACGGAGTTGTGGTAGGGTGGCACAGCAGCCCTGCGCCGCTCCTCCAGGCTGTAGGCTGCCACCCGCCGAGCCCGGGCCTCCACACATGCAGGGCTGTTGCACTTGCTGGTTCCCACTGATGACAGCATGATGCCTGACTGGGAGTCGGAGGTCAGGCTCTCAGATTGTTCCAGGCTCCATGTGTGGCTCTCGTGTCTGGGGAAGCCAGATGGGGCAAAGGGAGGGGTCAGGGTAGCCCAACTGGTATGGTCCATGGCCACCCCCTCCCTGGTTCTTCATCCTATCCTGGGCTCCCTTGGCTCACTGGTATTTCCACTGTGGGCTCATGGAATATCACAAATGCTTGAACAAAAAAGGACAGGAATCTACGTGTTTCTGTGGGCCTTGGTGGTGCCCACCTGTGGCTGGAGGTCGGTGTGGCTGTGGAGCAGTGGTGAGAAGGAGAACAGGAGTGGCTCCCAGAGAAGGTGGTCTCAGTTTCCCTCCGGATGACGTGGTCTGTGGCTGGCACATTCTTGGAGATGTACTGGGGATAGAGAGACAGTTGGGTAGGAGTTAGGGACCATGTTGGCTCACTTTCCCAGTGGGGATGGGAAAGTGATGAACACTGAGCTCTAGGTTGGGAGGTAACCCACTAGATGAAAAGTGACCTGCTGCTGGGGCAGTGGTGGCCCTAGCAAATCAGCTCCCCTCCCTGAGGTGAGGTCAACCATCCTGGTGTCAGTACCTATCAGGCTGGTGGTGGGATGGGCTAGCTGTTGCCCTGGCCCTTCCTGGCAGGGGGCACGAGGAGGCTGGGTGTCTAGCAAGGGCTCAGAGGGGTGCCTAGGAACACCACTCACGTCTGCCATCTGGATCTCCTCGGGGTCCAATCGGGGGTGGCTGGGCCCATTGGCCAAGCTCCGGTTCTGGTGGGCTGGGCACATGTTCTGCCGGAGGTGGTTATGCATCTGCTTCCGCTGTTTTCTGCACAGGGGAAGGGCAGATGAGCTTGCACCTTCTCCCACAATGAACTTTCCTACTTGTCCCTACAGGGAACCTGAGTGGCAAAGAACCCCACTGCTTTCTAGCTGTGTGACTCTGGGCAAGTTATGGAAATGCTATATGTTTCACTTTCCCCTCTGTAAGACCAATTCCAAAGACTAGTGACCATTAAAAGTATGTGAACTGCTCATGCACAGTGCCGACACCCTCTCTCTCTGAATTCCTCCCTCCCTCATTCATTCATTCATTTGGTAATTACTGAGTTTTTACTGTGTGCTAGACACTGCTTTGGAGCAAAGATAGACATGGTCCTTGCCTCCCACAGCCTGCAGGCCAGTAGGGAAAGCAGATGATAAACATATAAACAAAGAATGAAGTAGGTATTTCCAGTAACGAAAATAAAACAACGTGCTTTGACTAGGGAGCCAGAGCCTGTGGGATTATTTTATACTGGCATATATATATATATATTTTTTTTTTGGTACTGGGGACTGAACTCAGGTCCTTTTGCTTGCAAAGCAGGCGGCGGAACCATTGAGCTAAATCTCTGGCCCCTATACTGGCATATTTTAAATGTTTGATAAATCTGTTTTATAGTAAACAATTCTAATCATGTGACTCCTCTGTCTAAAATCCTTCACTGGCCCCAGTGTCCCATTTCCCCTCCCAATCTTCCCCACCGCAGCTGGCTGCATTCTTGGACAGCCTGTTTCTGACCCTTCACCCTGTCCTGCCTCAGGGGCTACGCAACCACTAGTCCTGGACCTGCAGTTCCATCTCTGCCTTTTGACCTTCCAGGCCTAAGGCGAGATGCTGCTCCCTCGGCAGAATACCTCCTTCCCTCTCGCTGAGGGGAGGGACCTCCAGAACATGCTACGACATTGGACTGCTTGCCTAGGGTGTTGGCTGTGTGCCTGGGGCAGCAGGGACCTAACGAATGTTGTTCGTTGAAATGAGTAAACACAGTGTGGGTCAGAATACAGTAAACGCAGGGGGGCTTGTTTTCTTCACACTTCTTGGACTCAATTTTCCCTCGGGTTCAGTCCTCTCCTCTGAGTTCCCTGAGCCTCAACTCCCTCCTTACTCCCCACCAGCCTTTCTGGTCCTGGACTCATCCAAGGTGAGGCCAGCAGGGCCTTGGATTGTACTTAGTCTGGACCCAGATGTTCAGACCGCAAAGCTATGGCTATTACACCTAGACCCTTGGCCTCCAAATATGAACAAATGTGACAAATATATTTTTCTGTACCATATCCTATTATAACCTTTGTTGGCTCCCTACTGCCTTCAGACTCTATATTTTGGGCTCAGGCTGTATGGCATCTGGGTCCCAGCTATCTTTTTAGCCCCTGCCTCTTTTTCTTGATGCCTGCCCTTTGCTTCAACTAGTATGGGCTGCTCCTGCTGCAGGCTGTGGCTGCCCCCGTCTGCTCTTGTCTTTCAGTTCGAGCTGTTCTACCTAACTTGTCCGACTTCCTCAAGGTTCTGCTGCCCCTGTAGTCCCCGAAGTGATGGCCCAGCCTCACCTTCCTGTGCTCTTGTTTTAACTGCTCCCAGGGTGGGGCCAGGCTTTTGAAGCAACTACCATTTCTGGGAACGCAGCCTTTTTGGTGCTTACCTCTTCCTCACCAGTGCCTCCCACCACAGGGCATGTGTTCTTGGACCCTGTGGGGTCGGCTGTGTCCTCCACTCAAGCCCGCACAGCGTCTTTGAGGTGTACAACAGACTTATTCCCATGAGGGCTCTGAGAGTTTCCTGTTTGCTCAAGGTTACATGGGAAATGACTGAGCTGGGCTTTGAACCCAGACCCACCTTCTTCCAAAGCCTTTGCCCACAACCCTCCTTTGTTCTGTCCTCTGAAACTGTCTCTCCCTTCTCTGTCCCTGCTTCCCGGCCCAGCCCCTCAACCCCACAGTGGTAGAGTTCCTTCAGGTTCGAGACACAAGGGTGTGGGGGCTGAGGCTAGGCACAGTGGGGTGGAGAGTGTGTCCCTTAAAAAAACATCTTGGAAGCCACCCCCCGGCTTGTTCTGTCCCTGGCCTGAGCACCTGGCACTTACTTGGTCTTGCAGTAGGCAACCACACAGACAATGCCCACAACCAGTAGAGCCACACAGATGCCGGTGATGGTCAGCACCCTCTTCTGGTACAGCTCCTCAGCTTCTGCAGGGGCAGAGCAGATGTGAAGAGGCGGGGCAGGAGGAAGGGTCCATAAGGTGCAGGTGCAGACACCCTGCCCCAAGCCTAGGCCCCCTCAGCCCATGTCCTGCCAGCAGCATCCATCCCTTCCCTCTTGCCTGTGCTTCCCCCCAACTGCCACCCAGCCTTGGATGCGGCCACACCCCCAGACCTGTGTCAGCCTTAAGCACGTGAGTGAAAAATGCAGGGAATAGGAGGGGATGGAAGAGGTGAAGTTCTCAAGGCCACTAAGCAGGGGAGGATAACCCAGACTGGCCAGCCTCCTGCCTTGCTCCACAGTGATCTGGCAGCCGCAAGGAACTCTGGTGGCTGGGATAGCTGCTCTTCATAGCAGTGAACACAGAAACACTGGGCAAAAGACTGGCTTGGCCACCTCCCTTCCTTAAGAATGGTTGGTAACACACCAGCCCCGGCTGGACTTAGGAGGGATGCCCGGGCCAGGAGCAGGTAGAAGGAGACAGTGTCCCGGGAGGCTGTGAGAGACTCCTGAGCCTGGTCAGGTTTTGGTACTGCCCACTGTATCCTCCTTTCTCTGCAGGTGAGAAGCCCAGAAGCAGCAGCAGCAGCATCAGCCTGGTGCTTAGAGCCATCCTTGTGGGCCAAGAACAGCTCCTCCCCTTGCTGGGGAGGTGAGTGAGGCTGGACTTGAAGCCCTCTGAAAGCCTGATTCTCCTCTCCATTGTCCATGCTTGGTAGGGGCAATCTGCCCCTCTAAAACAGGGACAGCCAGGAGGAAGGAAAGGAGAAAGTGACAGCACTGGCCATGGTCAAGGCCCCAACCCAGAGGTCACCCTGTCCCACCTTCTGGCTGGCCCTTCCAGCGTGTCAGGAGTAAATTGAGGTGGGATCCTCACACCTTGGTGGAGCCCTGGGAAATGTCCTGGACTCCAGGCTTGCACATCTCCCAGGCACAGGCACACAGACCAGCAGCCCCAGGGCTATACACACACCTTCTAGGCATATGCACCGCAGGAGCTGCCGGCCCGAGTCACAGACGTGCCCTTTCCAGAAATTCACACACATACTGCACACACATGCTCAAGAGACAGACCCACTGTCAGGTGGCGTCAACCAGACTTCTACCCCATGTCCCCATGTGGGCTCTGTGCCTGCAGTCCTGCTTTAGGCCTCCCTCTCCGCTTGCCCCTCCTCAGTCCCCTCCAGTGCTTGGAGACCACTCGGTCCATGGTCTCTGACAGCCTCCACATTGCCAAGACTTGTGGTCACCTGACTTTCCCTTCTGGTACCCACTGCCCTGGGTCTTTATGTGGTCACTCTCTCCTGGGCTTCCTCCTACTTGGGGGCTACTCTTTCTGGCTTGCTGGCTGCTTCCTTCTCTTCTGCTTGGGATAGAAGGTAGGCATCTCCAGGGCTCTCAGGCTTCTTTTTTTCCTCCACCTGCCCTGTCTCCCTTAGTGATCTCATCCAGACAGACTTCAAATCCCAGCTGTAGGCATTCTCTCTAGTTCTGTCTCTTGCTGTGGCTTCTCCCTAAGCATCAGTCAGGGATCCAAGGGCTGTCCCCACCTCATTCCACACTTGCTCCCCTGCTCACACCATCTCATTAGTGTAGCACCTGTGGTCCTGCAGCTCAGGCCTCAACATGGGCTCATTTTTGATTGGTCCCCTTCTTCCCACTTCCTCTGATACCTGATCGATGCGTAAGTCTGCTCAGCTCTACCTTTCAAGTAGTCTTGGATCTGACCATCTGACCTTTTTTATTTATTTATTTAGGCTAGGAATCGAACCCTGTGCCTTTGCTCTAAGATACATCCTCAGCTCTATTTTATTGTTTGTTTTGAGACTGGGTCTTGCTAGTTGCCAGGCTGTGTTCAAGTTTACAATTCTTGGGCCTCAGGCTCCAGAGTACTGGGATTACAGGTGTGTGCCACCATGCCTGGCTCATGATAACCATTTCTACTGCTTCCAGCTTAGTCCAGGATGATGCCCCCCTAACCTGGAGATGGTCACTTTCTGATAGGACTTCTATTCCTCCTCACCCCACTCTAGCTCTGGTTCTTGTCCACCCAAAGCTACACTTATTGACAACCATAAAGCAGATCATTTTAGTCCTCTGCTTAGAAACTCACAATGGCTTCCTTCTGTACTCTGATAAAACTCAAGGCCTTTCTTACATTATCCAAGGCCCCTGATTACCTGGTCCCAGCCTTCCTTTTGATCTCATCTGTGGTCCTCTCCCCCGCGTCTGTGGGACTTGGGAGTCATTGGCCATTTCTTTCCACTGAACAAGGCAAGCCTCCTCCAGTCGCTGACCCCTGTACTTATGGTCCCTTGCCTTCACCTCCCTCACTGCTTGGAAGGCTGACTATCAAAGCCTTCCTGGACCACATTAGCTCCACACTGCAGCCAAGCACTAGCCCATGGCCTAACTTAATTTTCTGTATTTCACTTATTGCCACAGATGTTTTTCCTATTTGTTTCTGTCTCACCCATGAATGGGAGTGCAAGGCGGGCAGGGATGCCATGTGACTGGTAGGTTCTGGTGTAGAGTGGATGTCTTGTTGTATAGGGTGTAAGTACACGGACACTCTCTTTTTCAGACGTCTGCATATGCGCACACTCACTCTGCACCTTGGCAGTCCAACTGTAAGCACTCAACACGGCCCAGGGACATCCTATTCCCCCAGGCCCACACCCATTCCGTAGCTTCCTGCTCTGAGACCTATGTGCAAAGTGGACCACATTGCCCATGCCCGACATGCATACATGCACATCCTTGCAGATTCACCTCTCTGTTCCCTACCACAATCACAGAACTCATACAGCCTCCACCTGCCCTCTCCATGCCCCTGCAGCCTGCACACACAGACACTAACATGCAGACTTGCGAATAGCTGGGCCTTCCCAAACCTGCTGTGAGAGCAGCCTTGGATTTTCTGAAGGCTCTGCCCCAAATCTGAGGCTCTGTCCTGTAGAAGCCCCCACCTCTGAGCCCTGCATGTCTTCTGCTGTGAGACCTCCAGACACTTGAGGCCAGGGCAGCACCTCCCTGGAAAGAGGCACAGAGCCAGAGATCTGGAAACACTGATCCTCAGGAAGTCCCTTCCAGCCAATGGAGTCTTCTGAGGCCAGAGGGTATTCGTAGGGCCAAGGGATACTTGTAAGATTCTGCGCTGGGAGGCAAGGGGCAGGCACCAGAGGCCAGCCCAACCCAGACCATTGCTGGTCTTGCTCACAGATGCACTCACATGTCATCTTGGGGACAGATCATGGAGGGAGTGATAGAATCAGGCAGATGGAAAAGCCCAGCAGACAGACACAGGGCAGGGGCAGGGGCAAAGGGGAGTTATTAGGTACCGGTCTGATGCAGATGAAAAGTGATGGAAATGGAACTGGGAGAAGGAAACAGCGATAAAGTCAGATGGAAAAGGATGCCTCTCTGCACAGCTCCCCAAACCAGGCTTCTGTGGTTCCCCAATCCTGGCCCTCCAAGGGGCCTCCGCAGGGACTGTCTCTCCTCTGGAGGCCACTGGGTGCACAGCTGGGACCCATCTCAGGCCTCTTAGCGGTAGGTCTCCCCTATTCAGGGGAATTGCTACTGTGCATCACTGGGGTACCTTGCTGTTCATGAGCTCTGGTCTGCCCCCAGTCAACATAGTTTGTGCTAGGAGATCTTGATGAGGTGAAGGGTGATCTTTAGAATCATCCTCTTTCAGTTTTTAGGGAGGAAGCCAAACATTCAGCACCCAAGGAGTCAGAGGCTGTGGGGAGAGGGGCTGTGCAGAAGGCACGGAGCGATACATAGAGGTTCCGTACCCTTTAATTCAAATCCAAGATGCTCTGGCAGTGCAGAAGAGAGGAGGGTGGGGGGGTGAGGTGGAGGAAGAGAGACAAGGAGAAATGGGAGGGGGGAGAAAAAGGGGGAGGAAAGGGGAGAGAAGGAGAGAGACAGAGAGACAGAGAGAGACAGAGAGAGAGAGAGAGAGAAACGTTGGTCAGGACTCTTCAGACACCGGGCAGCCAGCCTGTGAGGTGAAAGCAGGTTAGTAGTGTCCCCTCCCAGCCTCCTGAGCTCCTTCCCTGGTGCCCAGTCCCCAAAAGCCCCAACAGGGATAGAGAGAGGTAGTGTTAGAACTGGCAGGCAGGGAAGGCTCTTTAGAGATGAGCAATGGTTTAGTACTTGGACGTGGGGAAGGGAAGCACAGGCACAAGAGTCAGTTGGCAAATGTTCCCTGGAGGAAAGGGCTACTGGATATGGGAGCAAGGAGTGCCCTGTCCACTCCTCCTAGCTCCAGCACCAGCCCTTTAGCACTCTCAAACCCTCCCAGAGACAGCCTACCTGGCTAACTCATGGGGCCCTTTCTTCTGTGCAGAAAGATGGCTTGAGCTCCGCAGACTGGCCAGGTGTCCATGCCCTGCCCCTGGGCCTAGCTGGCCTGCCCATCTCCTAGGATCCTGGCCAACTGGCCAACTAGGGGAGCAGGAACCTGGAGAGGTGAAGACTCCAGGCAGCAAGTTACTTCTCCATCAGAACCCCCAATGATACAGGGGCTGGCCTATGGCCCCCAAGCTTGAGCTTACTAGTTAGAAGACCATAATGCAACTTGAAGAATGAGAAGAGTGTGGGTTCACCTATGAACTCCTCACATAGCTGACAAATTTATTTCAGGATGTGAAATGTGGGATTTTAGGCCTCTGTTGGGAAGACACCCATACCACTGAGAGATTAGATAAAGGCAGTGGCCCAGGGGCCAGCTTGGCATTGAAATGCTATGTGGTCCCAAGTGACAGTTAACCCACCTGGGTCTCTGTGTCTTAGTTAACTGTTATTTTTGGTACTGGGGATCGAACTTGGAACCCTGTGCTTGTGAAGCAGGTGGTGGAACCTCTGAACTAAATCCCTGGCCCTTAGTTAACTGTTAAATGAGGATCAGACCTGGTCAGGGGATCCTGGGAAATTTGCAAGCTTGGCAATCATCCAGACAAATGGAAAAAGGCTTGGAAGCCCAGAAATCTCAATGGTAATTTAAAAAAGCTCACCTCCCATTCTCAGTACAGTTGGTACAGTTGGCACCAGCCTACAGCTCTGAGTCTCAGTTTTATTCCTAATTTGCTCAGTGGATGTGAGAAAGCTATAGTTTCTGTTTCCTCTTCTGCTGAAAGTGCCCATACACTGTCAGAGCAGATGTGAGTAGGCCAGATAGCAGAAGGCTCAGGACATCATGCAAGGGCATCACTCTGCCGGCTTGGATTTGCTCCCTGTTTGCCTTCACAGAAGCATAGTTAGTTTGGCTAGGCCTGGTGGGCACAACATCGTGTGTGATGTTCTCATCTGCCGCAAAGGAAGGGGAGCCCAGGCATACAGCAGGATGTCCTGAGCACCCACCCCTGGATCTCTCTCTCTCTGCTTCCTGAAAGGGATTCTAGAGAGTTCCACATTTGGCAAAAAGCAGAAGAGCATAATGGCTCTGAGCCAGGGACCAAGGTGGTTCTGACTCTACGACCTTGAGGCGGATCCCCCCGCCCCACCAGTTCTGTGCAGAGAACACACCAAAGAAGCATTGATATTGATCCTAGCCTTCCAAACAGGAGCTGTCTCCTCCTTTGCCTTCTTTGCAGTTTTGTTTGGAAGTAGAAGAAAGTCACCCAAGTACAGTCTATTCACTCCTCCAGAGCCCTCTGGAGGTGGGGAGCCATGCTAGTAGATGCATGAACTTGACAAACTCAAAAGGTCTCAGGGCAGTGATGGAGTATTTAATCTTGGAGCCCAGCAGACCCTCCAGACAGCCTAAGGGCACTCACATTGTTTGAGTAGTCAGCCATCCTCCCCTGAGAGAGAACAGCCCAGCATGACCATGGCACATAGGATACTAAGAGCTGGCCTGCACCCCACTTTTAGCCAAGGTTGTTATACTGTATGAGGCAGGTGGGCCTAGTGGTGCTAGGACACTTTTTCAAGGTCACACAAGAAATCCAGAGGCATAAAGAGACTGGAATCTAGGCCCCTGGTCTCTCGGGGGCTAAGCTGTGAGTGGCCATTCCTGCCCTTTTAATAGGGCAGGTCCGACTGGCTACTCCTGGGAACAATGACCACTTGGAGAAGAAAGCAAAGGCTCCTGAAGCCCGTTGAGAGTTTTCTTCTCTCTCATCTGGGAACCAATCATAGGAGTAGCAGTTTCCAGGGGACCTGGTGGTGTGTTCTTTGAGTCAAAGGCTAGTACTGTTTATGGTGGACCAATGGTGGCTGTCTTGCTTCGTGAGGTCACTGAAAGGCCTGGCCAGTCACCAGGTAAGCAACCTTTACCCTGGAAGCCTGGGGATGGATTCCGAGAGGCTTATGGCTGTGTCTGCCCCAATAAAGAAGTCTCCTACTCCTGTTCACTGGATGCTACTCAGCCAGGATAAGCCACAGGAAGGTCCTATTGGCCAGAAGTTTGCGTACTGACCAGCAACAGTGGCATCCTGAAGCTAGATGCCCAGCAGGGCCAGGCTTCCAGGTAGTATGCACACATTCTTCATCCATGACACACAGGCATAAGGAGCCTGCAGAAGGAGGCAACAATATGTATGCAGACGTGAGCATGTTCCTGTGTTCGCATGTGTGTGCTTTTATCTGTACACGTGTACGAGTATGTCAGCCCACACCCATGTGTTCTGTGTGTGTGAGGGTGTGTGGGTGAGCTTCTGTGTTTGCGCTGGTGTATGCACGAGTGAGTACATGCTGATGTGTCTGCATGCGTGCATATGCATTCACCCGGGGGTCTACAGATAGAGCAGGGGTGTCAGTGAAGAAAGAGCTTCGGAGTGCTACTGGGATCCCAGGCTCCACTTCCGTAGTCTCTGCAAAAAGCCTGGTGCTGAGGTGGTTTGCTGCTAAGGTCAGACACTTTGCTGGGAATGCTGGGAGGCAGCCTCAAGGGGGATGATGCTCCCCCGGCCCTCCCCAATGCCAGCTGTAGCTGGGACAGGTGTTAAGTGCACTCTAATGACAATGACAGGTGGTCCACTGAGACCTTCTCATGCATCACTTCATTTCATCCTCTTAGCAACCTTACTGGTACAAAAGTAATCCCCATCTTACAAATGAGAAAACAAATCCAGAGAAATTACAGAAGACCTCAGAACTAGTAAGCTGGGCAGCTAGCACTTCTTTTCTTGGTCTCTTGGAACAAGAAGCTGGCCACTTTAGCGAGCACAGTACACTGCCTCTGCAGTTATTATCTGCTAGAGCAGCACATGAAGGGCTCTCTGGGAAAGTGCTTTAAGAGCATGAGTCCTTTACAGAAAGGTAACAGTAACTGTACTGGCAGCACAGATGAGAAGGCCAGGGGTGGGCCCAGGGTTGCAGACTCTTTTCTGGGCTCCGGGTAGACCCTCCCAGCAGAGCTGAGCTGAAAGCTGAAATAGCCCAGCTGGCAGAGAGGCCTTGGACAGCTGCCCAAGTGTTGCAGGTTCTGCTGCTGTGATTCAGGACAGGCTGGGACTGCCTGTCCGGAACAGTCCCACAAGGCAGAGAGGCTTTCTGCGAAAGGACAGAAAGGAACATAGCCCCCACTGCCCTTCTCCACCTGGGTGCCTGGCTGTTCTACCCCCTCCCAAGGCTCCTCTTTTCCTACAGTTCTCCATGCAGCCTGGATCGGGTTCTGAAATTTTTTCAGAGCCTAGGCTCTACAGAATTCTTTTGGGCCACATGCCCTTTCCACGGCCCTTATCCCTATGGCCTGCCTCCCTGGCCCCTTACTGGAGGGGCCTGAGCAGAGTGCTGCTTTCTACACTAGGAAGACATGGTGTCCATCTGGGCCCACAGCCCCCACCCATGAAAGCCCCTATGACTGGCTCAAGTTTAAGAGTACATTTCTTGGGTTTTGTGTGGGGATGGGTGGCGGGGCTGGGGGGACTGGAAAGGTTCATTTCTATATCCTGAGATCCAAACCACATGAGCTATCAAAAAGACCCCAAGTCTCACTTCAGCATTTCCCAGAGTTCTTCCTCCCAACATCCAGGTATCAGCTAGACGCTCTGGTTTCTAACTCCTCATGGGACCCAAATGACCACCCTGGAAAGGAGGAGGTGGGGATGGGTAGGGGCCTAGTTTGTTCTGCAGGATGGGACAGATGACATTGTTTGGGCCTGGCAGGCCAAGAGACCACTGGGCTCTGAACCAAGTCTGAGAGCAAGCCGGTGGCCTTTTGCTCGGCTCCACTTCCACCTGCTGGTGCTTGAAGGAACTGCTCCCAGGCCCTAACGTAAGCACCTCACAATTATGGCTGCATCCCTGGTCTGCAGCACCCCCAGACCCCAAACTGTGTAAACCTGAGACCTTTGACTTCAGAAGTGTGAAAAGGAAGAGAATGAAATCCAAGATGGGGATTCAGACCACAGAGGTCCTGGAAAGAGTCATCAATTATCTGTTACTTTTTTCATCGCCTCTATCTTTTAGCATCAGCAGCAACTCCCTGTAGCCACACAAATGTCTCTGGTACCCATGGAAATCACTGTGCTGGTTCTTGCTCTCCCTCAAACTCTCCTCTGGGTTCTGAACCCCAAACCAATCACACTCCGGCTAGACCAGAAGACAGATTTTTGAGAACATTTTTTTTCTCTGTCAAATATACCAGCACACACATACACACCTTCCCTGCTTGGCCTCATCAGAAGCCTGATACCTTCAAACAGCCTTTTGAGGTAGGGGAGGGCTCTGCAAATGCCTCTTCCCATTTTGGCCAGGCTGTCTGACCCTAGAAGTGGGGAAGAGGCCTGTATGTGCCTGCATAAAGAGGGAGAACTCAACATTACTGTGCTTAGGCAGTATAGTATAGTCAACATATTGGGCAGGCGCACACACGAATGTGTGTGTGTGTGTGTGTGTGTGTGTGTGCACGTGCATGTGTTGGTCTCCTTTGCATGGGCTTCTGGTGAGAACTTAGGATTGAAAGGAGCCCGGATACCCCCATTTCCCACCCAATTTTAAGAAGAAAGGCCCCATCCCTCCCACAGGGGAAGACTGCCAGTCACCAGGGAAGAGAAGAAATAGAAGAAAGAGACATACTGGAGAAGTTGACCATTGCGAACTGCTGACACCTGTCCCCGGTGTATCCCACAGGACACCTACCAAAAGAAAGAAAACCAGAAAGAGAGAGCCAGGATAGCAAGACACAGGCATTGCAACACCCCAGCACAGGCTCCTGCCAATGCCAGCTGGGTTTCTTGCCACCGTTACCATTTGTACTGATCTTGCCACTCTGCCCCTTACCTGCAGCCCTGAACTTTAAACCCAAGGATTAGGCCAAAAATGAAAAACAAAGCAAAACAAAACAAAACAAAAAACTAACAAACCAAAATACAAAAAAGAAAAGAGAAACAAAACAAAACAGCCAAAGATAAAAACAACCAACACCCCTGGCCCTAGGCCCTACATTGGGGGGACTGCACCCGGAAGCTTTCTAAGGAGCAGGGACTTGTGTTTGTATCTTCAAACATACTTTGCTTAGGATCTGGCATGTACAATCGCAAAGGCAGTTTCTCCAAACATCTCTGTCCGAAGAATCCGTTTGGACATCTGGAGAAGGAAAAGGGGAAAAATCACAGAACAAACTGGCATCATCCGCGAGGCTAAGGTTAGAAATCAAAGTGCACAGTGATGAATGAGAAAAACCAAGTCAGGCACTTGGGGTAACACTTGTAGCTGGAGGGGCTGGAGCAGGGGCTGGGTGGAGGGCTCTGAAATCTCACAAATCTCTCTAATAGATGTGGCTCCCTGGGTGTGGGGAAGGTGGGGTGGGGCAGGGAGGAGGATGATTTAGGGAAAAGGGGTTGGGGTGGGAGGTTATTGACTAATTGTACTACTGGTCATGGAGCTTTCCTTCTTACCTGCCTGGTGCCCCAGAAGCCAGAACTGTAGCCCCTTGGTGCCAGGCAGTCAGCCATAAAGGGATACCAAGTTCTTGAGAGCCACTCCTTTTAGGCTCTGTGAAGGATTCTCTCCTGTGCTCTGGGCAGCTTTTCTTGTTTATGAAACATCCCCCAGAAAGCTCAAAGCAGAACTCTGGAAGGCTGTTCCCAGACTGCGTGTCCGTGGCAAAAGTGACCTAGGAGATATCTGATCTGTTCTCTCAGAGGTTTCTGTGGCCAAATAAGTTTAGGGAACCCCTTCCCAGAACTTTTTATAGAGTTGTAGCCTGCATTAGCAAATGAAAGGCTATGGCAAGTTTTATAGGAAGAAATAGTTGAAAATTCCAGTATGTCTCAAATTTATTTGAACATGGAAAGCGTTTTTTAGAGGAATTCTGTAGAACACAGTTTGAGGAAGGCTGCTCTAGAGTAATAGACATGGGGAAAGCTTAGGGAAAGAGAAAGCTGGAGAGCAGCTGAAATTACCAGCGTCCCAGTTGGAGCTGTCTTCCTGACTAGAGTGCAGGGGCAATTTGGGCAACCCAGGAAGTTTGTTTCACATCGGAGGCCTGCTGGGAGCCAGCTTGGGCTCTCCTGCCCTTTCCCTGTGACTTTCTCTCCTTCGAGGGCCTGGCTCTGTCCTGTACCTTTCTTCCATCTTGGCTTCCCTGGAGTTCCAAGCAACCCTCACTCTCATCTCCCTGACCTGTTCCCAAAGCACACTTCCTTCTGCTCTCTGGCTGCCACTTCTCCCTTCAAGGAAGTCTCTGTCTTGCACATTTCTGGGAGACATGCCCAGCCCTGCTATTCTTCTGAACCCTAGCAAGGCCAGCTGGATAAGAAGAAGCTTATGGACAGGGCTGGCCTCTCTCCTTCCCCACATCTCCTTACTCAGAAGTGGGTCTGTATTGCCTTGGCCTGTTCTTCTCTAGCAAGATAGGTAAGCCCATCACCAGTGTTCCCTCAATAATAGGCCACTGTTCAACACTAATCAACCTAACCTTTCCCAAGAGGTAAAGGTGCTCTGCCCATTAGCCTTCTAGTGTACACAGCAGCAGTAAGGCCCTTGCACTTAACAGTGAGAGGTGACCATTGGCTGTGACAGATATTCATGGAAACCCTGTGACCTCAAACCTAGAAAGTGGGGAATGAAAGCGATTGGCGGGCAGAGAGCTGTGGACCTCAGTGGTGTCCCCCAAAGCAGAGAAAGGAGAAGGGTCACTGCAGGGGGAGAGTGTGCATAGAGTATGCCTAGTCAGTAAGGGAGGAGGGCTGAGCAGTATCTGGGGAAAGTGGTGGTGACAGCTTGGAGGAGGGCGGTCTCATCAATTTGTCCTCTGATCGCTGACCTTGTTCCTAATCATCTCAGCCCAGGAAGATGGAGGGCGTGGCTAAGGTCTCCCAGATACCTCCAGCCAGGCTCACCTCTTCCTCTGTGCTTGGACACTGATGTGGGGAACAGGGACAGAGGGGGAGAATGAGTTTTCAAACAGAAGCACCTTTGGTAGTGAAGGAGAAAGACAGAAGTTATCAACATGACTCTTGGAATCCACAAAGGAGTAAGAAAGAAATAGATTTGACTGTGTCCAATATCTGGGATTAGTTTGGCTCTTTCAAGATGGGAAATTAGAGAAAGAGAGACAGAGAGAGAGAGAGAGAGAGAGAGAGAGAGAGTGAGTGTGTGTGTGTGTGTGTTTGTGTGTATGTGTGTTGCGTGTGTGTATGTGTGTGTATGTGTGTGTGTGTTGTGTGTGTTGCATGTGTGTATGTGTGTGTTGCGTGTGTGTATGTGTGTGTGTTGTGTGTGTATGTGTGTGTATGTGTGTGTGTATGTGTGTGTATGTGTGTGTGTGTTGCGTGTGTGTATGTGTGTGTGTGTGTGTAAAAGAGAGAATAGGGGAGTGCAGGGGCACGAAGTGACAAAAGTACCATTTATTTCCATTGCCGACAAGCAGGACTGCTGTCTCATGATCCTTGGAGAACAATGACAACTAAATACATCCCTGTGTTCCTGATTTCACACCCAGTGTGCCCTGTTCTGACCTGTCCAAGCATCCTCGTATTTTTCTTGGCTAATGAGTTGCACAACTCCAGATGGCACTATTGACACCATCTACAATACAAGTATTCCCTGCAATTGTGCATCATTCTGGAGCTAGCTTTCCTTCCTGGAGAGAGTGTGCACCTCCTGCGGAATAAGGAAAAGTTCTGGGGGATGGGCAGAGTGAAGATGGGAGGACTGGGGAGAGTGCTATATTTTGAGAGCACCAGCTCCTTCCAGGGGCTCCCAGATAATCCTATTTTCTCTTATTAGTCCTATTTGTTGAGGCTGGGGTTTCCTTAGGGCACACTCTGGGAGTGGGCTGGGCCTGTGGTCTCTCTAACCTGCCCCCAAGACCAGGGTAACAGAGACCATGCAGCATTCACCCATCGACTTGGGGGTGGTGTCTGAACTCAGCAAGGGTGGCTGGCTGGTGGCTGTGGTTCCCATTCAAACTCTGAATTTCAGGGGCAAAAGGACAGATCAGAAGGAGAAGTGAGCAGCAGCCTTCCCAGCTCTTCCTGCTAGGTCATTACCTATGACTCTGGGAAGGTCTGTACCCAGGGCTGGAGAAGAGCAGGGGTAAGAGAGGGGGCAGAGTGGAGAGCCCATGGGCTGCATCTGGGGTGACAGAGAGGTCAGGACCTCTGCATTCCCCCTTTCCCGCCCTGCCTCCCGGGCCTCAGTTTCTCCTTTTGGTAGCCTGGGGATAATGCCATGTGTGCTGCCCTCACCCAGGGGGGAGGAGTGGATGAAAGATGAGGGTAGGCCCCAGGCACTGGAAGGAGTGAGGGTTTCGGAGTTCACGGAAGGCGGTGGAGATGGTGACAATGAGCAGGCAGATGGAGGCGGGATGGGGGAGATGAGGGTGGGTGTGAGCTGATGGGAGAGGGAGGCATGCACTGGTTTGTGCACAGGGCTGGAAAGAGTCTTGTTCTGTCATCATCCCCTGAACCAGTCCCCAAGAGTCACGCACCAACCGTGCTCAACAAACACACGGAGAGAAGAGGAGAAAGCAGCGAGAGGAAGTGTGGAGGCCCCTGTCTGGCCCAGACAGGGGACAGTCATCTTGATTTGGACCCCCCGTTTTCAAATCCCCTTAAGTTTTCTTTCTTTCTTTCTTTTTAAAAAACAAAAACAAAAACAAAATTCAGTATCAGTGACACGGTTTCTTTTGGCACTGAATTCTAGAAAAACAGGAGAGTTATGGAGTGTGTCTGCTTTCCAACACTCCCTGCAGGGCTCTGAACCAATACACAACAACAAGTGTAAGAAACCAGGAAGGAAAACTGAGTTTTATAGAAACCGGAATGAAACTGACCAGTGTAGTTTCATTATCCAAGCTAAGCGGAAATGCAAAAAAATCAAAATAAAAAGTAAACAAACAGCACAAATGGTAAGACGTGAGTTCCATTTCCTAATTTCTTTCCTTTTTATTCCATTCAGGTGTCAGCAGGAATCCGAGAGGCCTTCCCCGTCCCTCCCGGCTCACCCACCACCAGAATAGCCTCTGGGCTTTGGCCAGTCCCCTCCCCCCTGCCCTTCTCCAGCACGGCTCTGAGGACTGAAGTCCCCACCAGGGATGACCCTTTTCCCTGCAGGCCGACAACGGGACTCAGGAAATGCAGTTGCAGGAGCCCTGACTGGGGCTGACCCAGGGACGCTGAGATGGAGGTAGTGGCTCAGGTTCTAAGCAGTGAAGCTACATGGCCCAGTGGGGAGGGGAAACAGCATCTACCGTCTTCACAGGTGCTCAGATCCTGGCTTCTCTTAGATTTAGCCACCAGGACCCAGGCTCCTATGGGTGCAGTCTTGCTGGCAGGGCCCACTGAGAGCCCACATGTCTCATCCATTCTTTTCCTACACAGAACTCTAGCCTGGGGCCTGGCCCCCAGGGCCCTCCTCAGCCCTGACATCTGTCCTGGGGCACTGAGCCCATTCTTCCTGGAGCCAGGGATGATTTCAGTGACACTGCTGGATGCTATCAAGGGTCAGGGACTCGAGGGGCTAGGGAAGAGGAGAGGCCTGATATGGGAGACAAAGAAAAGGGGATGTAAGATAGGGCCATTTCTGTGAGGGATTCCAGGACCCCTATGAGTCTGTGGCAGGTCTGTTCCAAAGAGCTCAGAGCATTTTCAAGGCTAGAATGTTCCTCAGGGTCTGTAACACGAAAATGGCTGCCCCTTGGAGGCAGAAGCAGGGAAAGATGAGGGCAGAGGTCAGGCTGAGAGCTTCCCTGAGGACCTGTTGTTCTGGGACTGGCCACTCAGGTTTGGAATGTGGGAGGAGGGGAGGGGATGGAGGCAGGTGAAGGGTGGGACCAGGGAGGAAGCAGCCAAGGAGGCCAGCTGGGGCCAGAGCCATAGTCGTGCCTAGCAGTGGTGCTAAACTGCCCTGCACTGAGTGAGGAGATGCAGCCTCTTACGACCGTGTCGGTTGGTGGAGGGGTCTTTATGTCCTGGCCTCCTTGCCAGGCCCACATTCCTAGGAAAGGCTGTAGCCAGGAAGGGGGATGTGGATCTGGCCTGGGAGGACAGAGGCAGGAGAGCCAGAAGGGCTGAGACTGACCTTGTCTGTGGGGAGCTCAAACCCCTCTCTCTGCATCTCTACCAGGACTTTGGCGGCCTTTGCTAAGATGCCATGGGAATGGGGCAGCTGTGGCACCCCGCCAGGGCCCTAGGCTTGAGCTGTTTTGAAAACCCCAAGTCATTTACTTGGCGCCTTTCTCATTGTCCCCCTCCTCACATGTCCACTGCAGAATCTGGCCAGGGGCCCGGGGGCCAGCTGCCCAGAACATCCACTGGGCCTGGACTAGCTCTCCTGGCTACCATTCTCTCACCTGCCTATCTGCTACCAGGAGAATGCAGTTCTGAGCTCCTAGGAGTTTCTGCTTGGGCCACCCTGACCTCCTCCATGGGGCCATACCCAGAGCAGGGTCTTCGCTTGTGGAAGGGGACCAGGGGCTGAGGCACAGCACCTAGGGCACACTGGGACAGATCCAAGGTCAGCATGGGGCTCTGGAATACCCTTCTTCCCTCAAGACTGCAGGAGTGGGACCCTACACTTGATCTTAGCCAAGAGGCCGAGAAGCGATGCAGAAGTAGGACCCTGTGGTGCCAAGAGCTCTGGAGCCTGTGACCTGCCTGACCTGCCAGGCTTCTCAGTGCAGGGGGAGATGCAGCTTGGGATATGTTTATCCAGAACAAATTTGGAGGGTTGCTAATAGATGGGAGGAAAGGGAGAGATAGATATAAAAATAGAGAGATAGATAAAGAGAAAGAGACAGAGATACAGAGACAGACAGAGAGTAAAAGCCCAGTGTCTTAGGAAAAAATCCCAGTCCCCATGTCCCTCTGGGGTGTTGATGAGAGGTGGACATCTGGATATGGGGCAGATGGGGGCCTAGGCAACTGGGACTGCAGGAGCCCCTATACCCCTTAGACCTTATATATAACAGAAAGGGTTAGGAAGAGGGGCAAACTTCCCTATCTACAAGCCCTGGGGACCCTTTGCCAATGACCTGAGGCCCGCTTTTCCTAGAGCCCTCCACTTCTGCCTCAGCACCTCCTGCCCTACCCTTGCCCCCATGCCCACCCCCACTGGTCACTTACTTGCAGGAGAGCTGGTTGATGCCTTCAATGTAGTAGCAGACGCCTCCATTGACACAATAGGACTTGGCTGTCTCGTTGCACTTCCGGGCATGCCCCGACCAGGATGACAGGGTGGTGCTCACTGAGGGTATGAGAGACAAGTACCAGTGACCCACTGAGACCACCTCTGGGCCTCCACGTCTTATCTCAAAACTGGAAGATCAGAGATGGCAGGAAGGACTGGACGGTCTAGGGATCACTCTTGGTCATCAACAAGGCAAATGAGAGGTCAGCACAAACTCTGTCTGGCCAGTGCAACCTGGCACCTAGGCTGTGGGCAAACTTTCTGAAGGCCAGGAAGACTTTCATTTTTTTTGGAGAGGAAGAGAAAGTAGCAAAAACGGTTTCCTCTTTTGGAATAAAGGCCCCTTCCTTCCTGTCTTCCCCAGGCCTTCGCTGCAGTTGGAGGAGGTGCGGCTGTCTAGTGTGGGGAACAGTGGAGGGAGGAGTCACCTGTCTCCTGCACTGCTCAGGTTCTCACGGCAGACCAGGGGGCGGCTGGAAGGGGGCAACTGGAAGGGCATGGGGACTGGCACCTGTGTACACTGGCACCTTCCACTATCTGGAGAGATGTGGAGAACCCTAGCAGGCACTCTCTTCCACCTTTCTTCTAGGGCTGGGATGGAATGCTACCAGGGCGCCTACACTCTGTCTCCAGAAGTATCCAGGCTCTCCTCTCTGCTGCCCAACAGCAGGTAGCTCCCTTCTCCCCATTTCAGCAGCTGTTGCCTTTGGTGTGAGTCTCCAGGCCTTGGACAGCCCAGGTGGTAAATCATAGGCTTCAGGTTGTTGGGAAGAGACAGAACGTGTGTTTGGAGGCAGCTAGAGTATAAAAACTAGATAGATGACAGCAAGAATGGACTCTATGCACAGCTGACTGAGCAGACTCCTTTGAAACATGAAAATAATGAAAGCTCTGCTTCCCCATCCAGAAAGCTGGTTTCAAGTGAAAATTCTTGCACCAAATGTCAGCTTTCATCTGTAAGATGATGCCCTCTGTCGTGTGTCCAGACTGGGTTGACAGAAAGGGGTTCCTGCTTTCTCCTTGGCTCTGTAGGGCTCTGAAGGCTTCTCACTGCCACCCAGCAATGGCCTTCTGCCTGAAGTGGCTCATCCTACCTTGGCTGGCCCTCACTCCTCAGGGGTGCTGAGTGTCTGTTGCTCTCCTCAGTAATGGGGAGGAGGTGAGGGCAGGAGAGCAGGGCAGGCACTTGGCGCCCTCAGTGTTTAGACATGTAGGGAGACAGATGGCGTGGGGGACTGGGAGTGTATACACAGCTCTGCCTCTGTATATGTCTGAGGAGCTCACTGATAAAATCCAGCGGGCAGGGCCTGCTCCCACCTTCCCCTGCGCATCATGCCTGCTGCTGAGTTGGCATCCTTGAGCCCCACCCCTGCAGAGGTCTCCTCCAAGGCTCAACCGCAAACCCAGCTGGGACCCACATGCTGGCTGGAGAGAGGAAACTTCATGCTGATGTCTGCCCCACTTCTGGGTCAGTGAGACCCAGAAACTAAGAAAGGGACAGAGAAGAGAAACAACTGAGGTGACTGTGCCTGCAAGTTATAAAGTCCCATTGCTGCTGAGTGGGTCCTAGAGGTTGTCTTGCCCTTCAGTTGTCTTTCCTCTTGCAAAGGAGGGCTGAGGAAACAGAATGGCAAAGTGCCTGTCTAGAGTCACAGTGAGTGTTGGGACAAGGCTTCAGGGCTCCTGACATCTAGTTGTGCATTCTTTTCAGCAGCCCAGTCCCTTGTGAAAGAACACGTCAACACCAAGGCCTGCCGTGAGCACATGAATGGATACCAACATGGACCTCAGACCCAGGGCCTCCTGTGGACTTGGGTAAGCCATAGAAATCTTGGCCCATACTTGCCAGGCCTACCGTGGCTCCCTCTGCAGCTATGGGTGGCAGAGACTGCTGGCTGTTGTGCTCTCACTGTTATTCCACCCAAACTGAGTGAGCAATGGACAGGAATGAGATGCTGAACCCTTGGGCTTGTTACACATACAAGTCTATGCCAATTGAGGCCTGGGGAGGCAGAGGACAATGGAGGAAGATGGTGCCCTCCTATGGTAGCTGTAGTGTAGTGCATCGAGCCAGGCTTGCCAAAACCACAACATCCTGGGAGTGGGGCCAGGCTCCAGAAATGGGAAAAGGGAATATAATGGGGGAGCTAGTTCCTGGAGGAGGGGAAATAGTGACCACAGGCCTTGCTGACCTCAGAAAGGCCTCTCTTCTATAATGGCAGGGCCTTCCCGAGTCCCTGTAGCCCAACTCTGCTGGTGGTGAAGCCACACAACAGGAAGATCTGCATGCTGCTGAGGTGCACACACTCTGTGGCTCTCTCACAAAGTCCTAGCACACATGGTTCTGTGTGACAAGTCTGCACTCCCTTGTCAGCACGCCTTTATTTCTTCACTGTGTTTGCCGATGCTTGGAGAAGAAAAGGTGACACACAAATTCTAGGTGTGAGGGTCTGGCTGCTCCTTGACACCTCCACCCACCCGAACTCAACATGTCCCAGGCCAGGATCCTTGTCATCCTCCTCAACCATCTTCTCTAGTCTTTCCTATCTCAGTGACCAAATGGCAACAACCGTGTCTTTTATTTCTCCTTTATTCCCTAAATCCACCTGTCCCCGATGACTGCCACTTCTGTGTCCTCAAGAGGCTCTGTTTCTGTCTCTGTGTTTCTTCCCCTAGTCCAGGCTATCGTATCTCTTCCTTCACTGGTCTTCCTGATCCCACTTCCTGCTCATCTTCACCTTGACCTTCTTGTTTGGCAGCTGCCACACTGGTCTCCAAACCACATACATTGGCTCGCTCCTTGCCCTGACCAAGGCTCTCCAGTGGCTTCCCTTTGTACTCTCAGTAACCTCTGACTCCTCTTCAGGTGGAATCTGAGCCTCGCCACCTCCCTTGTGTCATTTCCTGTCCCTCTCTTTTAGTGTGTCCCCAGCACACGGGTCTCACCCCAGCTCCTGTAATAAGCCAGGTGCCTCTTGCCCAGGATGTCTCAAGTACCAGTGTCTCAGAGTGGCCTCTCCTAGCCTCTCGTGCTTCTTCCCTGTTCTTCAGTTAGCTACCTATATGTCTACCTGTAGTATTCATTCCAACCTAATTACATGAGCTATTATTAGCTCCTCCACTAGAACATAAGATCCCTTAAGGCAGGACCACATCTTTCATATTTCACTTAAGCCCAGTGCCTACCAGAGTGCCCAGAATATAATGGGTACTTAGCAAATGTTTACTGAATGCATGAGTAAGCAAATAAATATGATTCTTCAGAGAGAAGTGCCTTGTGCTACCATCCTGGGGCTAATCTTGTGTTCTTAGCTGATGATATCTTCTCTGTAGATTAAATCATTGTCTCCTATTAAATGAAAACATTTCTGGAAGGCCACTAGGAAAACGAATCAAAATTGTAATGAGGATGTGATTCACACCCACTAGGAAGGCTACAGTAAAAAATGGATAATAATGAATAGTAGTAAGGATGTAGAGAAATTGGAAGCCTAGAAGCATTGCAGATAGGAACATAAAATGTGCTTCTAAATTTCACTGCTAGGTATATCTCCCAAGAAACTGAAAACCCTATCTGCGCACAAGTTGTATATGAATGTCCACAGCAGCCTTATTTGTAATAGCCAAAATGGAAAAGCACCCCAAATGACCCAACCATCCAAACTGGTGAGTGGGTAAATAAAATGTGGTAATTCACACAGCGGAATATCACTTAGCCATAAAAAAGAATGGAGCACAATTCCTGTTATAATATGGCCGAACCTTAAAAACATCACGTTAAATAGAAGCCAAGTCACAAAGGGCCACATGTTGCATGAATCTATTTATATAAAATGTCTATAATAAGCAAATCCACAGGGACAGAAAAGAGATTAGAGGTTGCCAGGGGCTGTAGGGAGAGAGGAATGGGGAGTGACTGCTAATGTGCATGGGTTTCTTTTTGGGGCAATGAAAGGTCCTGGAATTAGTGGTGATGGGAACGTAACTTGGTAACTACACTAAAAATGACTGGATTGTATATTTTAAAAGGGTAAATTTTATGGTATGTAAATTGACCTCAAAATTTAATTTAAAAAGTGCTGGGAGGGGTAAACCATGACATCATTATTAGCCATTCGTGTCTTGGTGTGAGTGAAGAGTAAGAAAGGAGGGCTGGGGATGTAGCTCAGTGGTGCAGTTGCCTGCCTGGCAAGCACAAGGTCCCGAGTTTGACCCCTGGTACCCCCCACCCCCCAAAAGAGTAAGAAAGGACCAGGACAGGAGCTCAGAGCTGAGGCCACAGAGCCGCCTCTTTCTGCCCGTGGCTATAGCTGTTTTTCTCCCTTGTTACTGGTTAAAACTTCTACTTTACTTTTGAGGTCTGAACCCAGTGCCTCTTGATCCATTCACACTTCCTTTTTTTTTTTTTTTTTTTTTTTTTTGG